TAGCTTGCACAAAGGATTAAAAGACCAGTTTTTATTTTATTTTATTTATATTTTGAGATGGGGTCTTGCTGTGTCGCCCAGTCTGGAGTGCAGTGGCGTGATCTTGGCTCACTACAGCCTCTGCATCCCACCTCAAGTAATCCTACTACTTCAGCCTCCCAAGCAGCTGGGGCTACAGGCACACATCACCACACCTGGCTAATTTTTGTATTTTTTGTAGAGGCAGGCTCTCACCACGTTACCCAGGCTGGTCTCAAATTCCTGCACTCAAGTGATCCTCCTGCTTCAGCCTCCCACACTGCTAGGATTGCAGGTATGATCCACTGTGCCTGGCCTCCAGTTTTTATTATAGCATTACAAGAAATAAACCAGACAGAGATTCTATGCAGAAAGAGAGTTCAAGTGTTATAGACTAGAACGTGAGCCATAATTCCCCTAAAACCCTGGGAACTATTTGATTTCTCAAAGGAAGGCATGTAGTGAGGTCATCCAGACAGGCTCAATCCCCAGCCTGAGGCCTCACTAGAGGTACCACTGTTTGGTTAAGAGTATATTATCATGTAAAAGCTAGTCTGGCATCTTAAATCTCAGTAAGCAGACCTCTTTCTATTGAATAAATGGTCCTTTTTGCTAAAATATGACATGAAATTAAATAAATATATGTATATTTATATTTTATATACCTATATATTTATATGAATTTATATCAATTCTGGGGAAAGGAGACTAATTTCTTGATCCATGCTTTCTCCTGCTATCTCCACCACCTTGCCTAAAATTTGGAATCACCTACATTTCAATTCTTAATCGACTGCTCATTTCACGTCTATACATATTTTTCCTGAATCATGCATTTTGACTCAAGGCCTTAAGTCACATTAGCATAGCCTTCCTTCCCCATTTCTTGTTTTTATGAAGATGAAGCATGAAGCATTTGTCTGCCTTTCTCTGCAATGGTAGTAAGGCTTCCTGACTCCTCTCTGCCTACTTTTTTTTTTTTGAGACAGAGTCTCACTCTGTCACCCAGGCCAGAGTGCAATGGTGCCACCTCGGCTCACTGCAACCACTGACTCCCGGGTTCAAGCAATTCTCCTGTCTCAGCTTCCCACATAGCTGGGATTATAGGCGCATGCCGCCATGCCTGGCTAACTTTCTATATTTTTAGTAGAGACGGGGTTTCTCTGTGTTCCCCAGGCTGGTCTTGAACTCCTGAGCTCAGGCAATCCACCCACCTCGGCCTCCCAAAGTGCTGGGATTACAGGTGTGAGCCACTGCCCCTGGCCTCTCTGTCTACTTTTATGAGTTGGGGCTCCAAGCTTCAAGGGTTGCAAGACATATGTTATGTCTCTTAATTTGTCTAACTCTTCTGTTGTAGTTTAATACTCTTGGGTTGTGGTCTATGGAACTATCTCTTCCTCAACTCATTTCTGGCTATTCATGGTCACTGGAGCCAAGTACTCTTATTCTTTTAACCACGGCGTCCTAAGAGTCATACACTTCTGTACTAACTACAGGTTCCTGGGCAGACAGGTTACTCTACAGTTTCCAATGATATCAAAGAAAGAACAAAACCTAGTGACATCAGCTGACATTTTCTATGCTATCTTGATGGCAGGAATATGAATTAGCACACGATAGAAACAAACCAGAAGTCCAAAATATTAACATAGTGTTAATCTCTTATTCGTAATAAAGGAATTAATGGTGAGAATAAAGAAATAGAAAGCCTGTATCATACAAATATGTAACTAAAAAATTTAAAAATGATTTCTTTAATGTAATCATCCCTCCCCAAAAGCTAATATTTTGTCATTCCAGATTTTTTCAGGAAAATTGTCTAGTATATATTTTCATTCATATGTTTGCTAGCACTTTATTTTTTCTGGTTTAATGATATTTTCCTTCATGCTTACTGCTAGTGACTTATCTTCACCTTCAATATATTTCATAAGCCTACATGTTGCTGTTTTCTTTACTCCTAAATTAATTAAGAATTTCTCAGCAATAAAACAGTCTCCTCCTCCTCACTGCTTTAACTCTACTGGTACCTAGAGAAAGGTAAGAGTCTATAGGACAGCTAGTTCTTAGACTTGCATTCTGGAAACACAAGAGACTTGCCAGGAGTGTAGGCTACGTGCATACTTCCGAAAAGAGTAAAGAATTACGGTTTCTTGGCTACAGATGTGATCAGGGGGTTACGCACATATTCAGTTGAAATATCCCAGTGACTTGTTCTTTTATTTTTTGCCAGCAGTTAGAAAAGTAGCTTTAGAGGCGTTTCTAATTCAGTACGTCTGGGGTGAGGACTAAGAATTTGCAATTCTAACAAATGATTTGGACACTGATGCTGTTCGTTCAGGGGCTGCACTTTGAGAACCACTGCCTATTTCAGTGGTTACATCCCCAGTTCCTGGAGACAGCTCACTGTATGAGCCATCACACAGCTCACACTCATCTGAGGCACCCATCCCTTTTGTATTTGCTTTTCATCAGCATGGGGGAGAAAGAAGAATGCATAAGGCCACAATGAAAGTGTACAATTAGGGGAGTAGACAGTAGCAAAGCAGAATGGCATGGTAAGGGCTTGGAAATTTTTCCTTTTATTCATATGGAGGGTGGGGTGTGCTTTATGGTTTTTGGTCTTAAAGGGTACAGGAGCATTTCTTAATCCTCACTGTGTTTCAGAATCACCTGGTGTGCCCTCAGACATTTGAATTCAGTAGGTCCTTGGATAGGATCCAGGCATCTGCATGTTTATCCAGCATCCTGGATAATTTTGAAGCAGATTTTCTAAGGATTACATTTTAATAGTGATTTTAGAAGATAGAAATCCAAGTGGACACTTAATCCTACGTGGGGGAGAAATCAAAGATACTATCAGGTATTTTCTTTTTACGAGTTGTACAAGGAAGTTTAGGCCCTAGAGGAGGGGGCAGCAGCTTATCTAATTATTTTAAAAAATAGGCAGAGAAGGAAGCAGAGCAGAAGATGACAGTGAAGACAGGAGGCAGTGAAGACCAAACGAGCTCTCAATTAAGAGGTGACTGCTTTTCGTTTGCGTGAAATGACCAAATGCAACGAGGAAGCAGTCTGGCTGGAGAAATCCCTTTTAGTTATAAAGAGAGAGCTAGCAGAGAAGAATTGTTGCTTTTAAAAAAATCAGTTGTGAAAAGACAAAAAGAAGGAGGGGATGGCAAAGGAGACCAGGTGGCAAATTGGTGAGCTAGAGCAGGAGTGGGAGTAGAGATCACTGGGTGTTAGGACATGCCATCAGCAAGGAAGATTCCAGTGGCAACAGGGCATAAAATACTGCAGGTGCAGCCAATGCAGACCTGGGAATAAAACTACCTATTCGTTGTCTATTCAGTCATTAAAAGGAATGAAAATACTACTCTGTATGTGTGTTTATGTGTGAATGCATGTACACGTTTGTGTGTGTGTGTGTGTGTGTGTGTGTGTGTGAGTGTATGTGTCAGAGAGAGAGAGAGAGAGAAAGACATCAGGCCAATGGCATCAGTTTGGATGTCATGAGTATGTCTGAGTATTCAATTTTCTCATCAGGCATTAGGAATATCAAGGAGCTAATCTCTCTTATATTAATAACAGAAGATAGAAACCCTTGCAAGATCAGCCTTCAGAAGGCAAAAGAAAAAGACATAATATGCACATATTGGGAAAAATGTTCTCCTGTCTGTGGAGCAATGTAGCAGAGTCTTGTTTTCAGTCCACCTGTGTGCATACATATATGTATACACAAGATTCGGTTTTTACAACTACTTCATGTCCTTTAGTTCCCTCCAAACTGAAACGTTCATTTGATTTCAAACCTTTCCTTTAAATGCTTCTTTTTTCATATGAAATATCTTTCTTTTTCCTTCCGTAACTGAACCCTAGCTTCAGAACCCTAAGGTTTTCCCTGAGTGTTTCTAAGTTCTCTGGCCTTTTCTATCTCTGAATTTAAATCATAGGCAAGGATTATCCTCTATGCACAGCTCACCCTCTACCATTCTCCTGAGCTCAAGCACAAAAACACTGTATTCTGGAAGTTCCCAGTAAATTATTGTTCAGTGAATTAATAAAGAAAATACAGGTTGAATCCTCTGGTGATGGATACTTTTGGCTTCCTACTTGGCATCCTTCCCATTCCACCCTTTCCTATCACAGAATATCCACTGATTGGTGGGGATGACTCCACCCCCTAGCTCCAGGAATAGGCCTTGATTGCTTTAACCAATCAGTGGAATTCCTCCCCTCTACTACTGTGATTGGTTTAGGCAGAGGCCTGGGCCAATCAGAATGAAGCTCAGAACTTTTGCTCTGTAGTCAGGAGAAGTTCTCTCTCATAGTGGACAGTGTGGGGTGCAGATGTGATGACTACAATTGTTGCAGTTAGCTATTGTGAGGGAAGCCAGCTTGAGGATAAAGCCAACACTCAGAAGGCAGAGCATCATTTAGAACGGGAGTTGGAAGTCTGGTGAAATCATGCTGAAGCCATGACTAACTCTGGAGGGTACAGTCCTTTGAGCCAATATATTTCCTTTATGGTTTAAGCCAGAAAATGAGGTTATCTATTACTAACCTCCCTGCTATTTATGGAGTTCCCTCTATTTTTAAATCTTTGGGACACTATGTAATTCGTCTTCTTGCAACTTAATTCATTTAGGAAAATAGCACTCTTGGATAGCATTTTCTCCCCTAGTAAAATCAGTACATATTTTGCTGTTTATGCTGAATCTAACACAAGTCATGTTCACAACAGCTAAAATAATAAATTTGAGAACAGTTGCTACCCTAATTTTTGCTTAAAACAATTAGTGTTCTTATACACTTACATAGTACTGATATAGACTTCTTATTAACTTATGTAGCAAACATTTCCTGAACATTTAAATTCATTCTAATTGCATATAGGTAGGCATATGGTATATATGGGCACTTTGTCAAAGATTAGCTTTTGTTCAACATTCCTCAGTGTTTTCGGCAATATTAAATATAGATACCTTTTCGATGAAACTGAAGAGACCCCAGCAGACATATGGATTTTAGCATCTCTGTGGTATACATTTCTAAGCAGCACTGCAGCTGGATATAAAGCCGACAGATTTCTGGATGGATCTCACCATCTTCTGGGCTGCAAGACAATGAAAGAGAAAAGCTGTGAACATTCTCAGATTTCACTCATCAGCCATTTTTCCGAGAGGGAAAAATGCTCAATAAAGATTCCTTAAAGCCTTGATCCTAAAATATAGGACTTCCTGCTTTCAAACCAATGACCAATGTGACAGTTCTTATATAAGTGTCTTTCTGACTAACAGTTCTTAATTTTTTTTCCCCTTCAGCAGCAGAGTTCTGCTGGGAGCTTAAAATCATAAATGCTTTACATAATTGAAAATATCAGACATCTTCAATTTAGCTGTTGGAACAAATTCCAAAATATATTTAAACCATAAGAATCTCCTAGCCTGCAAGAAGAGATAAAAAAGACTTGTTTTTAGAGAAACTGACAGGAGCAATTCAATTACCAGTTGTAAGTCAGCTCTTTAATATTAGGGCCCTAGTGTAATATGATTAGAGAGCAATTTACAAATTATTTTTATCAAGATTTTTTTGTCTCAATCTAAAGGATCTTCCTGTATTGTTTGCTATGGCTAATTTATGAAAGACCAAAAGTTTTTTAATGAAAAAATAAAAATTTTATGAAAAAAGGAAAGTAATAAAATTCTGTTAATTATGCTTAACACTCTAAAGCTATATACACTGAACTTATGATCTAAAATTCTAAAGTCCTTGTGTCTTTTTCTATTAAATATGATAAAACATAAAAATGTGAATATGATAAAACAGGAAGCAATCACTTTTGTTTTTGTTTAAGGAGAGAAAAATTAGTTGTTGATAAAATAATACTCTATTTTATGTGACTAACGTTGAATAAAGTAAACCAAATAAAAGGGATAAAGTTTAGAGAGATATTAGAAATAAAATAAAAACTAAAAGTGAACTCTATCAAGTGTCTTAATGAGTTAAGTTGACTGCTATCCCTATTAATTTAAAATGCAATGAAATCTGATTTTTAAATATAGCATTTGTATTTGATTTCTTTGTAATGTGGGTCAGTGGCAAAATATCAGGAGGTAATTATCAGATAAAAATAGTGGCTTCAAGTTCTGGAATCACAGTAAAGAGAATTTGTGTGTGCACAGCACTTTACAATGATAATTAGTTTTCATTTTCAATAGATGAGCAAGAGTTGATCTAACCATATGGCTTATATAACACAAGAAAATGCAAAATTCTTAGCCTCAGCATCAGTGATGCCTGCACATGTCTTTCCTGTGTCAGACAGAATAAAGTATCTCAAAAGAGCTTTCATGTAAAATTTGGCTTTATCTGAAAATTAAAAGATGTAATTTTTTCATTTGTGTCTCATGGGTGACACCCTAGGCCAACTTTGGAAGCAAATGTATTTCTGGGGAAAGTATTGGGTTTTTTTTCAGAGTATCCTTCCATAGTTGCCTTCCACCCTCAAGCTGTCCTCACCACTGAGACATACCCAGACACACCCACACCCACCCCCCCACACACCTCTGATTATTTCATATCGTCTTCAGCCTGTCAAAATGTCTCTGACTGTGTCCTATTCCCTCATGGACCTGCTAGATTCTGAACAGATAATGGGCATTAATGGTTCATGTAATAAAAATTGATCCTCTTTTATTATCTACTAATACATTAATTTTCAGAGCAGAATCTGAAGATAATGTCTTAATCTACAAGAAGGGTAAAGGGAAAATATTTTCAGGCAGACAGGTCTTTTCTATGTTGGTTCATCATCCCAACATCAGCTGCCTATTTTCACCTACAGATAACATTGGCCTTGGTGGCTCACAGGCAGGTATTTTTTTTAATTTTATTTTATTTTTAATGGATACATAATTGTACATACTATAGTATATAATGTGATGTTTTGATACATGTGTATATTGTATAGTGATCAAATCAGAGTAGTTGTCAGATCCATTACCTCAAATATTTATCATTTCTTTGTGGTGAGAACATTCAGAATACTCTCTTGTAGCTATTTTGAAATATAAAATACATTATGGTTAACTATACTCATCCTACTTACTGTGCAATAGAACACCAGAACTTATTCCTTTTATCTAACTGTAACTTTGAAGAATATAAAATGCTGCACAACTTTGCATGTCATCCTTGCTTAGGGGCCATGGTAATCTTTTCTGTATCATTTCAATTTTAGTGTATATGATGCTGAACACTCATATGCAGATTAAAAAAAAATCTGTTGTATGTATTGCACATTTTATGAGTGGGACAATTAGCCAGTACAGTAGCATCCAAGCCATGGAACGTTCTTATTTTCAGAAGTCTAAAATATGTGCCTTGTGGCTTAGTTTCAAAAATATGCAAACTTCATATATGGATGACATTTTATGTAATTTAAACAAATGACTACCATATTAACATATTTTAAGAATCAGTATATTTTGTTTATTATTTCACAGCTAGAAAAAGAGAGGTAAAGCATGTATTAGGTGCTTCTGAGAAAAGGCAAGTCAAAACAGACTAAAATGCCTAATTCAAAATATTTATTTGGGTGCCATCTCCCAAATGCCTCCAACCCACAGAGATTCTGGAAACTGGACCCCTCAAAAATGTTACAAGAAGGAATTGAATAGGTACCACCAGAAATCCAACCTGCCTAAAAAAATTAATTGATGCTAAAGTTGCATCATAAATTTTCTGGGTAACAAAGTCGTATACACACTCATATGTTATCTTTTAATGTCTAGGGAAACTGCAATATAGCGAAAGAAAGGAAGTATTTAAAGAAGAGTGGAAAAGCTAAGGTATCTTTTATGTTAGAGTTTCATGATGCCTAGACTAAGTTACATTAACCTCAGGCCTTGTACAATTTATTTATCCCTCTTTAGAGCTTAATATTTATCACCATTAGTGATTACTGAAAGTTCATTGAAACACAATTCGTCAAACGAGTTATAATACGTCTGATGTTATAAACAGTGAACTGAAATACATTTTCGAGAAATATTAAGAGCATTTGCATTATTTTAATAACAAATGAGTAAGAGTTGAATCATGGAGAGTGAAAGAAGAGCTAAGAAAATAGCAATAAAAGCTTGAAACTTCCTAGGAATAAATTACAAGACCTAAGGAAACATTTACAGTAAAATGAAGTTGGACCTGTGTAATTCCTACAGGAACTGGAAGCAACTTAACTTAGAGGCAATTTTACCATATGTTACTTATGTTTAGTCTAACACAATTCACTCTAGTTAATTGGAGTTTAGGTCTGTGAGAGTCACCCCGAGGGTGATTCATTTAATTCAGTCAAATATGTTTTATGAGTTAGTGATTAGATTGTGATTATTTATTTTTCTATTGAGTGTAAGTCAAGAGCTAAGCTAATCATTTTGATTAATTTCAAAGCCTTAGTATTAATAGAAAAAAACCTAAGAATTAAATTCAACAAAATTTCAGTGCTTTAGAGCTCAAGTTGAATCCAAAACCATTTAAAATAACGACCAAATTATAAATCTGCTTTCAACCAAGTCCTTACAGATCAGGATTTAATGACTAAATCATATGGCTGAGGACACCTGAACTGCTGTAGGAGGAGGATGACATGAATACAGACTTTGCCTAAGTTGCCTCTTGATAATGGAAACTCTCTCTGTTGTTAATATTCTTATTTTGTAGTTCAAAAAGTAATATGATAAAGGTCTGCCAGAATGGCCAACCGTAAAAAGACTCATAATGCCTAATGTTGGTGTTGATGTGGAGCAACAGAAATGCTCATACATTTTTGGTGGTAATTAAATCGTCTACAACACCTTTGAAAAAAGTTCTGGAAGTTTCTTATAAAGCTAAACATATACCCATCCTATGACCTCACATTTCCACTTCTAGGTATTTGGCCAAGAGAAATAAAAACATATTCACAAATAGAGTTCTACAAGAATATTCATTGTATTTTATTTAGATTAATCCCAAACTGGAAACAGCCAAGGTGTCTGTCAAGAGAAAAATGGTATAAAGAAATTAGTACACTTCTACAATAAAATAATACTCAACAATTAAACGAAGCTAACTCCTGATCCTCAAAACAACATAGATTAATCACAAAAGCATTATCTTGAATGAGAAAATCCTTACACAAAAGAATTAATACCGCATTATTTCATTGATAGAGGCTCTAGAACAGGTAAAATGGACGGTAAATATTAGAACAGTGGTGGGGAATTGGCTGAGAAGGAGCATAAGTAAACTTTCTGGGGTAAGGATGATATTCTACATCTAGGTGGAGGTTTAGTTATACTGGTGTATACATTTGGCAAAATGTATTTAATGGTACACTTAAGATTTGCATTTGATTACACGCAAATTTTACTTAAAAAAAGAAAATCCAATATTGAACTCAGTTAATACTATGTATACTGAATTGTTTACAAGTAAAGTTTACTGATGTCTGCAGGTTTAGGAAAATAATATGGATTGCTGGTTGGACAGAGAGATAACACAGGTAGATACATAATAAAGCAAGTATCATAAAATGTAAATTATAGAATCTAGGGAGTGAATATTTACTTGATGACTGAGGATTTACATTTCCCTAAATAATTACATGGGATAAATTAATCAAAACAACTGCGAGGCTTTATAATTGGAAGGGTCAAGTTCAGGAGTTAACACACTGGGGATTTTAGTTACGAAATGTCTTGGCTCTGCATCTGTCTGCTCTTTTGCTGAGGTTGCCAGACTTCAGAGGCCTATGTAGCCGCTAATAGCTTTTTAAAAACAGCAAAATGTTTGTTGTTTTAATGGTCTGTCCCTAATGTAATGATTTATGTATTTAGTTGAATGGAGTAAGACATAATGAAAGGAAAATGAGTCCTGGAGTCAGAAAACTTAGATTTAAATATAGGTTTGCCCCTTAGAATTGTCATCTTTGGAAAACTACTTTAACTTCTCTGAGACTCAGTTTTCTTAGCTGTGAAATTGGAATAACACCTATATGAAGTATCTCAAGGCTGCTGCAAGGATCAAATTAAATCTGTGTGGGAAAACAAGTATAAAAGGCAAAGGATGGTA